TAGTTTGGTCCATGAACCCAGATGTTACAATGGCTTTCTAACCATCCATCCATCCAAACCAATTTCTGCCAATGCAGCATTTTGTGCAAGGACCTTGAGAACAGATGATGGGGAAGGAGAAACAAGAAAATTGAAGGAGCAAGAAGCCATTTTGATTAAGAGTTTAAATCAACTTGCTACCCCAATTTTCCACCCACTGAGTGACAATATCTCTTCCTTCCATTTGTTCTTGTTCTTGTTTCTTGTTGTATTATCATTTTCTGAACATGTTGATTGTGACCTAAATTGCTTGCACTTGGATTTTAATTCATTCTCAGCAGCAATAATCACTTGAATTTAAGATTCTCTTCTCCTCCCCTCCCAAACATACAGTTTCCCTCTGCAATTTAATCTACAAAGCCATTTCCCCACTGATGGATCCTTTTAATGACACAGTTGTTCCTGCTATAGAGCAGCCCCTTCCTCCCCCATGGAGTTTTCTTTATACATTTTGATGATGTTTCAAATAAGACTGGAGAACCTAATGAACTTGGAGTCCTCTAGCTTTGGCTGACTGTTGTTTGGGCCACAAAGCAGAGTTTCATGTTGCTGATTCCATGTCATTCTGGGGAGGGGGGCGCGATGCTAAACATTTTTATTCAGCAATTGATCTGCTCAACCTTTTCTCTCTATCTTCCATTGCAGACTGATTTATCTCAAACAAAACAGTGGATCACCTGTCATTTTGAACAATATCAGTGCAACTTTGGTATAATACCTGAGGATTTGAATCACTGCCAAGCTGGATCCATCTAAGTAAGTTGATTTATTGGCCTGCACCAATAAAGATTGCAGATATATAAATCAGTCCATGCAATGGCTGGGTTCTCTCAATATGCTAAGCCATAAACCCCGGTTTGCAGATCATGGTGTCTGGGTTCACGTGACATGCGAGAAGAGTTCCTGCAGAGCTAGCTTTCTAAATTTGAAGTTTTGCTGACATTTCTTCATAGGACAGCACTCTAAATTTGATCCCCTATTGCGATGGAATACCCTATGCCAGCACCACTCCATTTGTACAGATCTGACTTTTGATCCTGGGTGCCACCTAGTGCAGGTGGCTCTTGTCATAAAGCATTCCAACAAAATGGGTGATGGAACTGATCAGCCTTGTATCTGGGCAAGCCCCACTCATTTCAGGGCTTCCTTGACTCAGAGACTCCCTTAGCAGATCCCATTCTGGATCCCCATACTTACTCTACTCATAATGTGGTTGGTTTGGTTTGAGATTGGTGTAGTGCAGTGTTTCTCAACCTTGGCAACTTTAAGATGGGTGGACTTCATCTCCCAGAATTCCCCAGCCAGCCATGCTGGCTGGGGAATTCTGGGAGCTGAAGTCCACCCATCTTAAAGTTGCCAAGGTTGAGAAACACTGCACTATGGTGATGCAATCACATTATGGCTTGAGTCTAATTGCCTGGTTCATACCAGATGGTAAGATCCTGGCTTGGTTCCCATAACACACTGAACCATAAGCTATCAAACCCAGTTTCAAGTGGTCTGTGTTGTACAAATCCAGCCAACCCATGTAACCAAGACTTGAAGGAGGACTGAAAAGAACATTGCAGCAACAGCTCTTTTAGTGGGTTCTGCACAAACCTTGGTTGATTTTATTCTGTTGAATTTGAGAAAGGGGGGAAAACAATCCACTCCAGGAGCTCCATCACTGAACCACGGGATGACAAGGATCTTTGAGAAAATACGGACAAACGAGAAAGGGAAAGAAAAGACAATGCTTGCACAAACCACCAAAACAATTAAAAGTGGATGATGACTTGCTGAATCATGTGATTTGCAAGATTAGAGACTTACCCTCCTGGGGCAAGGATTTCCTCCCAGATATCTTTTCTTCCTGGCTTGATTTGGGTTCTTTCTCCCCAACCCCCTGCAGCCTGGATGGAAAACATACCAAGAAATTGCCCAGGATGGACTACATTTACCTGTTCGATAGCTCTTGCTTTGGGGCTGTTTGATGTTCAAGCAGATCTTCCTAGATTTCATTCATTCCCATCTCCTTTCAGGGAAAGATGTATAAATACACCAGAGCAAAAGAGTTACATGCGCAGGAGAAGAGCAAGTGCAAGAGAAAGAGAAGAAAGCAACAAGGCTATGAGGAGTGGGGGAATTCCCTCTTTTGGGTAGCAAGTGTATTATAGGGCGGGTTGCAAAGGGCTTTCACTAAACACCTTTTGCCATCAAGTGCAAAATGATAAGGCCTGCATTCTTATTCCTTCACTCAGATGACAACTCAGCTTAGTCTTGTCAGAATCATACGGGTTGGGGAAATCATAAAAGTCATTCTTGAATATCCAGAGCAAAAGGCCAGCAGGTTTGGAAAGCCCCTACTTCGGACAAGGCCATTTCTAAAGAGTGTCAGAATCAAGAAAAAGGTTTGAGAAAAAGCAGATGGCATAAACATGAAGATTTAGTTCTTTCTTCCATCTACCATAAAGAGAGACTGCTGTTGAAAACCAAACAGAGTGGACTATTGATTCAGGACAGAACAGGATAGGAACAGCATGAATTGCCGAATCCCAGCTTTCCAATTTAAGTCTTAGGGAAGAATAGGCTTGTTCTTAAAAGACCTAAGTGCTTGGATCTCTGAAAAGCAACTTCCTGATGGAAGAACTGGCCTCAAATTAAGGACCTTAAATTGCTCCTCTTTCAGGGCTTCTTCCTATAAAGGACAGATGGCTGTACACCAGTGTTTTTTAAACTTGGCAACTTTAAGATGTGTGGACTTCAACTCCTAGAATTCCCTAACCACCTTGTCAGCAAATGCTCCACTATGCAATTCCAGGAAGGTTCAGCTAGCACTTAAGCACCTGATACTGGTCCAGGTGTGTTGGGACTGCAGCTCACAGACTTCCTCAGTCAACACATGGAATCCTGGGAGTTGTAGTCCCAACACCTCTGTCCTTGAGCAAGGCCAAGAACTGGGCGACTTTATTTTTAGTTCTCTGGCCAAGAACTGGGCAACCTGATTCTCTGAAGTCTGAAATGTGGAACTGGAGCTGTTTTTATTTCCTTACCTCATTTACTAGATTACTTTCTGGTGCTGCGTGCGGTCTTTTTAGTTCTGATACTTTTGCTTACTGTTTTATGCCTTGATCATTTGAGAAGAAAAGTAGCAAATATATGTAAATGTTCTGATAATCCCCCGTCAGATCAGAAAAGGGCCAAGATTTATTCAGCTCAGAGCCACAGCAACGTAATGACTTTGGGATGGGATGGGAAGTTCCTGGGAATCTGGGTCAGTCTTTTTCTCTCGTCACACCTACCTCAAAGAGTTGTTGCTGTGAGGATAAAAATGGGGGTTGAGTTTATGATGCCATTTAGTTCCACAAAGAAGGCTTCCTATAACCACACTTGACTGCCAAAAACTGGCGGCTTGACTTCTTACCCTATGTGGGCAGGAATCACCACAATTAGGTCTACATCAGTGTTTCTTAAACTTTTTTCATCTCAGGACCCCTTCCCATTTTTCAAAATTATGGAGAACCCCCAAAGAGCTTTTGTTTGTATGGGTGATATTGGTCAATATTTACCATATTAAAAATGAAAATTGACGCATTTGCTGCTGTGACCGCTTCTCACAATGGGATTTTAATATTGTATTTCAGTATTGTATAATATTGTATTTCAGCATAGGCTGCCAAACCTTTTTGATCGGAAATACTGGCCTACATCATCTCAACTGCAAAAATCTGGGCAACCCCTAGATGACAGCAAAGTGACACAGAAAGCTTTTCCTCTTTTTCTCATCTAGCGATTGCCCGGAGTTTTGATGCCCAGATTTGGAAATTCTCACTCAGTGTTTCTCAACCTCAGCAACTTTAAGCTGTGTGGACTTCAACCCCCAGAATTCCCCAGACAGCATGGCTGTCTGGGGAATT